CTTTAATAAATTAAGATTTTACTCAAATTTATTATGATAAATTAATATATAAATTCTTAATATAAAAATAATAATATCAATATTAACAAATAATTATATTACACATATATTTTATCAAGCTTATTTAATATTTTAATAATTATTTTTAAGAGTAATTTAAATATACTTTGATTAGTAATATATAATTATGAATAATTTTCAAGTATTATCACTTGTTATATATTAATATTATCTTAATCTTTATCTTATACTTTTTTTCTAGTCTGAAATTCTTATTAATAAATAATAACTCTTCTTTTTTGCATTTAATAAATAATAATTATATTAATTACAAAAATATCTTGAAAAATTTGTGTTTATCAAAGATTATATCATCAAAGAAAATTATGAATTTTATAATATAAAAAAAGAATATATATTGAATGAGATCAAAAATAAAATGGCAAAGTTGATCATAATAAATAATCACAATTTTTGAGATTATTTTGCAACATGTTTATTCTAATAAGATCTTAAGTTCTGGTTATTTGAAATTAACATCCGATTCAATATCATTAATAAATTTATAAATTGAAAAATTAAGCGCTAAGAAGTTATTTCTGCCATTCAAGATCCTCTTTTTGCTTGATACTAGAAATCCAAGCATAAAGAAATTCTTTTTTGATAATGATGATGATGATGATAATGATAGCATTATTATCAACATATTGTGAAGTTAATTCTGAAAAAATAGAATATATTATAAAGATAAGTATCAGAAGATGTATTTGAATTGAAAAGTTTTAGATTTTTCTAGAACTGGAATCAACACTAAGAGAGAGATCATACACAAATATTGTCTAAGCTACTTACTCTTTTTTATTCACACATTCAATGATATCGACACAGAAACCTATTGTCACAATTGTATCAAAATAATTATCTTTTAATACTTCCGCAACAATAATATACTCTCTTAACGCAGGATGCCTGATGAGATATCAAGTTTCTTAGTCGGATAAATACATAAGGAGAGGAAAGATGGAATCTTTATATATGATTTTCATTGATAAGAATTATTGCAACGGTATTACTGAGCAAAAAATTGAAACGGTACTGTAGATCTTAGAAAATAGAAGCACGCGACTGGCTGCATTAGAAAAGTTAATTTTGATCCCTGTAATTCTGTATAACAAATATTCATGTAGCAAAAGAATTTTTATTTGAAGAATCATACAAAGAAGATTTTTTGATATTCATGTTGTTGGCAGAATTAAACTAGCTTAAATTGAGATAACCACAAAAAATTAAACGAAAACGTTCTTCACAATTTCCCGAGCAAATGCAATAGTCTCTTGAATACTCGCGCCGATCTTAACCTTATCGTTCAAAATATCAGATCCCTCAAAAGTTTTCCAAGAGAGATGTTTAAGTTTGATAGTATCCTCTTTGAAGGTTTCTTGTTTTGTTTCTTTGAGCACGGAAATGAAGGATATTTGGAATTTATCATTTCTATTTGAATTATTCGTAATATTAGTAATATTAATTATTTGAATGAATTAAAAAAAACAGTAAAACTTACACATAACGCTTTTTCGTGACTCCCTGTACAATAGATTCAACTTTGATTATCTCTTTGAAATCACTTTCCCTAAACCACCTCCCATCACGTAATTGTAAGCCTTGGCGCTGGATATCAGCAATTACTTTGATATGTTTCATGTCGATAGGATGTTCATGACTAGTCTTTAGCAAGAAGCGAAAGTCGGGCGCGTCTGATCCAGAGACCACGTCAAGTATTGCTTTACGGAGTTGTCCTCTTGCACACTTTGTAATTTTCCAAACACCTATGCATTATTATTTATGAGACGTAAGGAAACAAAGAAAGCAAGCATTGCGAGAAAAAGCATTTATTTCAACCTTCTTCTTCGAACCAATGCAACTTGAGCTTACGCCTATCCCGTTTATAATCACTATCATCATAATAATAAATAGAAGTACTAAGCTTTTCCGAATTATTGGTTTCTTCTTCAATCGAATTAAATC